ATTTTTGCATGAGCAAAAATGTAATAGATTTAGCATCAGCTTGGTCATGTTTCTTTAAGAGGAACTTATATAATTTCCTATTACCTATCATTGTGCTTCTGGTGAGTAATTTTGAAGATAACTACTTTTCTTTCCCAATGCCTGTGAAACACTAGATGTTTTGATTAAGTATGAGACCATACTATAAGCACGCAACTAAGGTCATCACTTGAATCAGCCACGATCTGGAATTGTGCATCTGACTTGACTTGGAATCAGCGACATCTCCCAGAGCAGGTGATTGGAATGACTAGAATTTTCCAGAACAGATTTGTAGCCAATAGGCAAAAGTATCAGAGACTGTTGCAGTTTCTCTGATTAATAACTCACAGACCAGTTCAGGGACTTTTCAGCCTAATAGACATTATTATATCTATTATATAATAAACATAGCTCCTCCACCTCCAGCCAAGGAATTGCCAGATGCTTCAGAAGGAGGTGCTGTCCCTCTAGCTTATTGCCTTCTGGCCAGCACTGAATCTATGCAGGCAAAAACCTTCGCAGAAGAAAGAGAAGTTGGAGGGAAACAATTGCCTCAAAGCCAGAGAGTTGCTTCTCAGGGTGCAAGCCAGGAACCCCTAGCCTCAGAGTCTGTTCACACACTGATCCTGGAGCCCATTCCAGACCCACTGAGTCAGAATCTCTGGGGGTGGTCTCATGGGATCCAAATTTTTAGCAATATTGATTTTAACGATATCTAAGGCACCCTGAAGTTTGAGGACATGTACTTTTTCCTTACGGGTGATTTTATGTAGAGGATTCAACTGACAAGAAGGTCCTTCATGCCCTTACCATTGGCCCCACCCCGTTGGGGCCCCCAGTGCTTTACTTACCAGTCCTCTCTGCCCTCAAGCAGGAGCAGGTGCCCTGGCTTTGGACTCAGGGGATCTGCCAAACATTTTCCGCTGTCCCTGAACTTCCTGTTCTTCCCAGAAACCTTGGCACAGGCAAAGGACAGTCAGGGAATGGCAGAGGCATATGCCCGATTGGAATAACTTGGAAGCGGACCCCAAGTGCAGACTCTGAGTCAGCCCTCTCTGCTGGGGAAAGGAGCAGGAAGTTCAGTGAGTCAGCGCTGCCAGTGACGGAGGGTGCCGGCCTGGGGCAGCCAGGGAGACAGGCCTCTGAAGCATCTCTCCTGGCTTAGAGGATAGTGGCTTGGAACCTCTGCCCTGCTGCCTAACACACAAACTCTATATTCCTGTGGGGACAAGCTCTACCTGCTACTCCTTTTCTGCCTTTTGAGAAAACTCTTGAGAATTAATGAGAGCAAATGGGACCTTTTCACTGAGATAATCAGTGATTGTGTCTTAGGACTCTTGGAAAGGCTTTCACCTCATCATAGCTCCTCCGTCAGTTCTCTTCTCCCTTCATCCACTTCAAACCAAACAACCAAAAAGTTTAAGAACAAAGCTTGTTATGTCCAAGCAGGTTGAATTCAAATCCCTTATATAGCAGCCTCCCACCAGACTGCTTCGTCAAAGCTCTTCTTTGTAGCTCGGGAACCTCAAGCTGAAACCTCGTATCTACCCTACCCTAATTGCTGCTGCTTTGCTATTGGTAATGAGTTGGCGGTTGCCAAAGCCGTTTGTCCCAGGAGTGAGAAAAAGGGTTTAAAAAATAAGCATCCCAGAAAAGATGCAGTACTTCTCAAAGCTTGGGGTATTATAAAAACCTACACAAGAGCATGTTTCACTGCAGATTCCTAGACATTACATCCAAAGGTTTCTGTTAGGTTCTGTAATGATTCAGTGGGCCTGAAGTGGGTGGGACACAGGAATATACATTTTAAATAAGTAAACTCAAGTTACTCAAGATGTAGAGGGCCTGTGGTTCTCTGGATCATGCCTAGAAACATTAGTTTAAATGTACATCCAGGAGTGAAGGACTCATTTTGAGATTCCCTTGGAATGGTAGAAATATTGGTGGTGGAGGAGACAGAAGTATTCCAGTATTCCACACGCCTCCGAAAGGGAAAAGTCTGAATGTGAGTACGTGGCAGACATCTGTACAAGTGTGAGAGGGAGTGGGCCTGGGTATTCTGAAAAATACATCCAAAGGAAATGAAATCACATCATTTTCTTATTGGCCTCCCTTTATCTACTTACACCTCAGACCTGAGCGCAGCTCAGTCCTCTGAGCTCATGTCTGACCAGAGGCCCCAGAGGCCTCTCCATTGCCGGTCAACCTGGCTTCTTCCCGGCGTGCTTTTAATGTGAAGGTGACTCTAAGAAGATGAGATTTGCCTTGAGGATTGGACCTGGCATCTCATTTCTGTCAGAATGCACTCTCTTCATTTCAAGGATGAGTCAGAACTAGAGAAATATCACCTCTGTTCATCCAAGTAAACTTTAGCTCATCAACTTGGAATGGGTCATACGTTTCTTGTTTGGTTTTAGGTCTTTCTTAGAGGTGGTAATTCTTAATATATTTGATCCTGGAGACATTAAGATAATTAAGTTGTCTAGTAGTATTTTTTTAACTAGGTCATTCTGAAACAGTATTCTACTTTCATATTTGGAGGTAGGGTAGCAATTAATTTTTTTAAAGTTTCTACTGATTTTACATGATCGTATATCTATGCATTTGCCAAGCCTTCAGACCCTCCCCCTGAATCCTTAGCCAACTCCCGGCACCCATTATGTTCTTACATCTCACTCTATCTCTAACAGTATCATCTACACCCCTTCTTCCTTATTCCCACCTTGACATTCACAACCTCTTGATCAAAGTAGATCAACAAGACCTAGGATATTATATTAATAACAAATCTTCTAAAGTGGCTAGAGTGCTATGTTATGCTGTTGTTTGAGATATAATTTCATTACAATGGCAAGAAATCATGCAGCACTTACTGCATGCCAGGAATGCTCTAAATACTTTGTAAATACTAACTTGTTTAATACTTACAACAAGCCTATGGGTATACGAGGTAGGTGCTATTGTAAGTTACTATAAGGCTATTTTATGGATGAGGAAACTGAGGAACAGAATGGTTAACTAACTCAGACAAGGTCATATAGCTAGTAAGTTGCGCAATCAGGTTTCAAACCCTTACTCTGTGTTCTTAATGATTGTGAAAGTTGATAATAGAATCGGGTCATTCCTGTCATACCTAACTAAAACAGTCAAGAAGTCAGCAGGAAAAAGCAGTCGAGACACCGTGTAATTCTCTGCAGGCCTGGCTGCCGATACTGTCTGCTATAACCTGAAACCAGTTTTATAGTTGCTGAAATGATCTGCTGCAACTTGAAGACTAATTGTACCCACCTCCATCACTTGCCAATCAAAACTTAGCACCCCAGAAACTTATTAGTGCCAATGAACTTCTTCAAATAGCGATATATAACATTTCTGTCTTTTTAGAAAACCTCCAACCTTCTCTTTGTATTTTGGACATAGTGAATACCATCTGGTCTGCATGTATGCCTCAAACTGGAATTCTTTCTTCTCAAATAAAATGTGAAATATAGACATTCATCTCTACATTTTTATTTTGACTTCAGTAGTCACTATCTATATTACCCATTTAAGTAGTCAAAACAAAAACAAAAATGAAAACCAGCAAAAACTCCAAAACAAAATATATTATCTGAAAATGTCTATTTTCCAGGACATTTCAGCAAAGGAGACTAAATACTGCAAACTAATATGAGACTGAATTCAATGTAAAGGCGGAATCATCTCGTGGTTCTTATCCATATGTGCCAAGAATGATCTCATTTAATCCTCGCCCTATTGAAGGCTGATTTAGTAGCTTCTTTGCTAAATATTTACATGCCAAAGAGAATCATCCTTTAACTATCTGCGTCTACTTTGAGGCTCAGGAGACAAGAGGTCCATACTGAAACAGCTTTTGACTGTTACCTCTTGGTGTCTGCCTAGATGAAAACTGACATTACTGGTTCGATCAGAAAGTATTACCAGAAAGTAAACTTAGAATTACCAGAATCAATCAGAAAGTATTAACTTAGGAGTTTGGAGCCTAAATTTTAATTCTGGCTTTTCCACTGATCAGCTGTGTAATTCAGGGCAGGTTGTAACCTTTCTGAAACTATTTTCTACCTTTTTCATGTTTTCTTGAGGTCCAAATGAAATAGCTATAAAAGAGAGAAACTATAAAGTGCTGGAAAACTGTAAGTTAATATGACAGATTTTTTTGTATTTTGTGCTATTATTATTTTTGGGGGGACTGATGAGGACCTTGTGGTCCAGGCTGGAGCGCAATGGTTGCTCACTGCAACCTTCACCTCCTAGGTTCAAGCAATTCTCCTGCCTCAGCCTCGCGAGTAGCTGGAATTACAGGCATACAACCATGCCCAGCTAATTATTGTGTTTTTAGTAGAGACGGGGTTTCACCATGTTGGCCAGACTGGTCTCGAGCTCCTGACCTCAGGTGATCCACCTTCTTGGGCCTCCCAAAATACGGGGATTACAGGCGTGAGCCCTCGTGCCCAGCCAGATTGTTTAAATAAATATATTAATTATTATGTGTACCTTAAGGCAATGTGACTACCTGCCACTTTTTCTCCTTGACCTCTGAAGTAAACTTGAGGGCAGGAACCATGTCTTATTCATCTTCGTCTCTTAGCTGGAGTGCAGTGGCACAATCTTGGATCACTGCAACCTCCTCCTCAGCGTCCCGGGTTCAAGCGATTCTTGTGCCTCAGCCACCCCGGTAGCTGGGATTATAGGCATATGCCACCACACCTGGCTACTTTTTTCTAATTTTAGTAGAGATGGGGTTTCGCCATGTTGGCCAGGTCGGTGTCAAACTCCTGACCTCAGGTGGTCCACCCGCCTCGACCTTCCAGAATACTGGGATTATAGGTGCGAGCCACCGTGTCGGCCCAATAAATGTTTCTTGAGTGAATAAACAAACATAAGGGATTTTCAAAGGAATGCTGGAGGTTCTGTCTCAGCCGAGAAGCGCCCATGGAAGCAAAAGCCATGCGTAGTACCTGCTTCAACCACGTGGTCCATTGTGGGAAACCTTTTGTACACAGCAGTGCTCACCGAGCGGAAGATGAGCAGGGAGGTGAGATTGACATAGCGCATCAGCGTCCTTCTTAGCAGGCGCCCGTGCTCGTCGCTTCCGTGAACACTGCTGGAGATGAGGAACATCAGCCTGTCTGGCCAGGGCAGATTCACAAACTGGTTCCACCATCGGTTCACTACCAGAGTAACATAAAACCCTGTAGAATAATAGGAAATTATAAAGCAGTTTCTTAACAGCAGACACGTTGGTGACACTGATGCTTTTAGCTGAATTTTAGCCTTTTTAGATGTTGGGGGTCAAAAATATGTTATTATCCATATCTTCTGATTTTGCGTTCTAGGAAAAAAATGTCATTTGTGCCTGGCAATGCCTAAGCACCCTGTTAAGTGTGTATTAGATCTCAAATATTGACTGCAAAATGGAGAGTTAGAGAAGAGAAAGCTTAAATGTCCAATAGCAGATCATGTCCTCAAACTTGTTTGGTGTTAATTTAGCAAAAGCAGCCCTGAAGGCAAACCTTATAGATGATTCTGGTTCTATTGCAAGCAGCAGCTTTTCAGGCATGCCTCTCAGCTTGGAAACACTCCCATGCAGAGTCATTGGTGTCATCCTAATGGAGACAGCTGTGTGGCTGCAATCTGCGTGTGACCTATACTTACCAAGCACAAAGGTTACTGGAATTTGTTCAGCATATCTGTCACAGTAAATTGATAATTTTTCAAAGTAACGTTTTTGGGCTCCTGTAAGTAACAATCTGGAGCAAAAATAAAATGCACAGCCCTTTATGATATTATACTTCTGCACCTGCTTTGCAAGTGACATCAAGTGCAAACAATTAAGCACAAATAATCTGTTTGATTTTTGAAGGAGCAATAGTTTTTTTTTCCTTAAGCTGACGTGTCTCAAAAACTTTTTATTTGCTTAATGTTTCAAGTGCTAACATCCTGTAAATGTGACTGGCCATTAAATAGTGGGATTAATTATTCATTATTTTATTTTAAAAACTTTATATTTTAAAAGTTTTATATAATTGATTCATTGGACTCAGAGCAAGGTAAGTTACAAAATAGTTCATTTTTGAATTATTCATCAGGAATACCTTAAAAAGAGTGTATTGTTATGAATTAACATTATTAAGAAATTATTAAAGAATAACCCTCAATTTGGCACCTTGATCTTCCTCCTGAATGTGCTACTTAGCACATTCTTGATTATCATGTGTTATGCTTCAAGGGATACTATACCTCATTTTAAAGCCCAGAATTGTTTGAAGTCTAAAACAAATTTAACAGTGAAAAATGAAAACTTTCATTATTAAATTTAGTCACTCTCTCAAAATTTGTGTTATAGATCTAACCCAACCTGCCCAAAGCCCATTTTCTGGTATCATTAAACATAAGTGCATTTAATGAGAACATTATTGATTATAGAGAAGAGGTTCAGAGTCTGAATAAATGTTTTATGGCAAACTAATAATATTGACAAAAATATAGGAAGGAAAGCCAAACAGATGAATTCAAATAAATTGATGAGTGTAACTGTTTCAAAGGAAGAGGGAACCCAAGGAAAGATCCATTATAACAAGCACCAAAGGCTCATTTGGGTCCATAGAACTTTCATAAAGGAAGCAAAGGAATAATGAGATAACAGGAAGCAACCAATTAGATTACAGATAGAGAGCTGTTGGGAGCTGGTCCTGAGAAAGAAGGTATGTGGGGTACAGGGTGAGCTTGGAGTTCCTGCCTCAGCTTTGGAAGAGGTGTTAGAATTACTGAAGTCAGGGAAAGCTGACAGGAGAGGTACCAGATTATTGTAGAGGTCTATCAGGGTAATGCTGATGACAAACTACGGCCAGAATGGTTTCTGATATTCAAATAGAAATGGTCAAAGAGGCTTTAAATGTGGAAAGCATGGACCTTTTTCAAGATCAGACAAAGCCAGATTTTAATCCCAGGTCTGACACAAATTTGGATTTTGAGAATATTTTTAAATGTCCCTGAGTCTCAGTTTTCTCATCTGTAAGTAGGGGTAGAAAATCTATATGGAGTATTATAAAAATTAAATAGCATAATGTGTGTGGTGTGTGTGTGTGTGTGTGTGTGTGTTTGTGTGTGTCTGTGTGTGCCTGTGTGTGTCTGTGTGGGTGTATATAAAAACCACTTAACAAATTGCCTCATACTTAGTTAATAATGAAATGGTTAGTGTTAATAGTTGGGCAAAGAAAACATCTTTGGCTAATAGACATAGAAATTTTTTTTTTTTTTTTTTTTTTTTTTTTTGAGATGGAGTTTCGCTCGTTACCCAGGCTGGAGTGCAATGGTGCAATCTCGGCTCACCGCAACCTCCGCCTCCTGGGTTCAGGCAATTCTCCTGCCTCAGCCTCCTGAGTAGCTGGGATTACAGGCACGTGCCACCATGCCCAGCTAATGTTTTGTATTTTTGGTAGAGACGGGGTTTCACCATGTTGACCAGGATGGTCTGGATCTCTTGACCTTGTGATCCACCTGCCTCGGCCTCCCAAAGTGCTGGGATTACAGGCGTGAGCCACCGCGCCTGGCTAGACGTAGAAATTTTAATAGCTAGAAAGTATTTCAAAAATTATTTTGTCAAATTCCTCAAAAATAGAAATGTAATCAAATTAATGAATCTGGTTCTTCCTTATAATTTTTGTTAAGAATAATTATTTACTTATAAAAGAGCTAATAAAGACTTAGAGAATAAAACTACGTCTGTATTTTTCTACAGATATGTTTGACTTCTTTGACAAACTCATCCTATAGCCCGTGGTATACCTTTGATTAAGATATAAAGATCTATTTTAATAAGGTGTTACAATTGAACTTTAAAAAATTAAGGATGACTTGAACTGATAATTTTTTTTATAAATGTAAGCACTCTTTGCTATAGAAAAAATATACGCATAAAATTTGGGGGGGTATAGTATGATATTGGAACAAAAGTTGAGGCCCAAAGGAGCGTTTCTAGCTACATTGCAACTGTGCTAAGGGCTATTCTATTCTATTTTTAGCAGCAATACCTGCAATACATTTGCATGAGTAAAAATGAACTAATGAGATAATTATCATGAAACACCATTGTATCTTCCGTCATTTCATATTCTGAAGGCTTAGGTGATACATACCTAAATTGCCAAAATAATATCATATGATATGATATGTCTGAAAAATTATGAGAGGTTTTTAATAAGACTTTCCCTCTAAAAATATTTTGTCAAAATATATACCAATGTGTACACTTGCTCAGAAGGGTTGTTTTGATGCACAGAAAAATAGCTCTACCTATTTTCCTTTTAATAATTATCGGTCAACTAAATTAATATCCTTGTTTTACCAAAGGAGATCCTATTGCTGCAAGGAAGAATGTGAGAGCAATACAACACAAATTTGTTTATCTATATGCAGAAGAAAAATAACAAACTGACGTATGTAGAAAAAGGAAATACAGTCTTAAAAACCTTTAGTTTTCCTGTTTTAAGTTTTAGCTTCCTCCAGATAATAAATTTGTGCATTAAATTTTAATTTAAAAAGCTTTAAAAGCTCATAAAGCTCTCCTTTTATCATACCAATAGAATTTTATTAACACTGTAATTTTTCATCATAAAACTATTTCTTGGACTTGATATTGCTCACATTTCCTGTCAATTTGACAGGCATATGTTATGATGTTGTAAAGAATAAGCACCTCCTTTTATGAACATAACATGCCCTCAACTCAGAAGATATAAAGAAAATAAATTAGTCTACAGGAATTTTCTTTAGTTGAGGTACTCTTAAGGGCAGCCATCATCCGGGATAAGATATTTTCATTCCAGGCAAAAGGAAGGAAAGCTTTCACCTGAAATACACCAATCATGAACGTGTTCATTATATAAGTAGTAGCTACAAGCTGTCAAATCACAAACTATGAATGACAAGCCGATAGAAGCACCAATAATTATTTGCCTGTGGCCTTTGCCCATTCAAAAATCTGTACGTAGTATGGATCTAAGGAGAATCCTTCCATTTTTATGCCTATTGCAACAGTCTTGAAGCGCAGCTGGGGCTGGCATGAAGGCTACCTGAATCTTACAGTGAGAGTCTATTTTACATCCTGACGATGGTTAACTGTTGATTAAAATCTGTCCTGAAGGGAAGAAGACAGAAGAGAGGCTCATGCAAAAAAGGAGTTATATAATGCAGAGTCAGTGGCAATAAAAGGGTTCAGATTTTTGAGACTGTATTTTTATACAATATTTAATTGCCATTTAAGGAGACATGCAAAGAAAAGTACCTGTACACCAAACTTATTGCTGTATAAAGAACAGCAAAGACAATAAATTCCCTGTACAGTAGTTTGTAGATGCTGCCTCTCCACTTGAAGAGTAACCTATGAAATCCAAAAAAAGTTGCATTTGCTACTTTACTGGAGTAAGTGACAGTCATCTTGGATATTTTTTTCTAGAAGAGCAAGAAGACAAAACACAAGTAAAAAGCAATGTTTAAAATAGGGCATAAATCTGTATGTCTGTATATCAAGGACACTCAAGCCAGCAACTAGTCAGCCATATCTTTTTTTTTTTTTTTTTTTTTGTCTTTCTTAGTTTCTGTAATTCAAAACTTTCGGATAACTGTTATCTCAGTGCTAGATCATTTAGCAGAAAGCAGGAAGAAAGGAGTTTCTGGAAAGAGTAATATTAGACATCTTAAACTTGCCTTAACTGTTAAATATTATTTTTAGATTATATAGCCATTGGTCAATATATATTTGAATGAACAAATGAGGAAAATGAGTCCCTCATGGGAATTTAATTGATGGGGCACTTTTGATGGGTTTGGTTGCATGTAGGTGTCTCGCTACTGGAGGTCCAATTGTTAGCACTCGTTGCATTTCAACAGGTAGCCAAAAAGTTGGGTCACAGTCATAAATAAGAATAGTACACTTTCCCCATGAAAAGTTGTACAGAAATGCTTAGGGGTGGTTCACATTCTATTTGGAGCTGAACAAAATAAGGTCATTATTTATGACTCTTTCTACTTGAGTCCATTTCATGAATGTGGTTAGGATGAGCACTGGGCCCCAAAGCCCTGTTTTCAATGAGTTCTTTGGAATTACACCACTTTCCACCGAGACATTAAGTATTCAGGGTTTGAAACAGACAGCGCAAAGCTAATCTTTGAAAATCCTGCTCAATTTCTGGCTAAGATAGAACATATGCAAATAAAATGAAATTTATTTAAAATCTTACTTTTCTCAAAGGGATCTATCTGGAGAGTCTTACAGAGCTACTTAGACTGAAATTATGAAGATTTTAGGTAGAATTGTACTAAATAAAAAAAATAAATTCTATAGCAGATTTCTTTTGGGAAGTAACCTATACCACATATTTTATCACGAACAAGAAAATTTTTTGTCTTTACTCATTGCTGGAAAAACAATTCAACTCTGATTTGCCCATTTTCCCTAAGGAAATGGAACTCTGGAGCTGCATTTACAGCATTTTCTAAAATCACAAACTTAGCTTTCAACATTACTGATTTTAATAAAGAAGCCAGGGCCTTTCGGCATAAGTAAGTGGCATTACGAAAGGATGGGACTCATGCCACAAAACCGGTTTTATTTTTCCATCTTTACCTTGTCTATTTGTCTAGTGTGAATACAGCCAAAATTGGGAGAGGAGCCTAATAAATTAAGCCCATTTCATAGTTTGTTCTCATGGACTCCAGTAGTTTTAAATAACAGTCCTTGAATAACTTTCTCTTCTTTCATTTAGTAGTTCACTCTTCTTTTTAAGCTCTGCCAGGAAAATGAAAATCACAGCAAGTAGAGGTCAGAATTAAAATGCATAGGTTTACTCTGGGCACTAACCTATTTATTTGGTTTGGAGTCTCCACCAGGAAAGATAATCTTCGAATTTCGGGCTCCCCGTGAAGAGGCGCCTTCAGGCCGGTGCTGCACTCCCGGTGTCACCCTTTGCCCATGCACAGCCAGATTTTCTTTCTGTTCTCTGGCCACTGAGAGGACCCAGAGTGTGACAAGTACGGGGGTTAAGTGTTTTTCCACTTCTGGAGGCCTGTTTATGCCAATTTACCCACTGATGACAGTTACAGCCAGGAACAAACAGAAGCAACAGCTGCTGATGCTGCTTTTTTCTAAGCTATAATTATAACTCCACCTGCCACCCCCAGTACCTCTTTGAATGAGAAGTTGGCAGTGACATGAAGGATGTTGGGCTGTTTGTCTGCTAGATTCATTTTGACTCCACCCTGGGATCAAGGAAGAAAGGTTCATTTGACCCTAAAGAGTTCAAAAAAGAGGCCCCATTAGCCAAAAAAAAAAAAAAAAAAAAAAAAAAAAAGGACTTTCTGTGCTTTAAATGAAGATTAAATTCTTAAAGCTGGGGTGGGATGTGGTGGCTCACACCCGTAATCCTAGCACTTTAGGAAGCCGAGGCAGGCGGATCATCTGAAGTCAGGAGTTCAAGACCAGCCTGGCCAATATGTTGAAACCCCATCGCTACTAAAAATACAAAAATTAGCTGGGACTGGTGGTGGGCTCCTGTAATCCCAGCTACTCAGGAGGTTGAGGCTGGAGAATCACTGGAACCCAGGAGGTAGAGGCTGCAGTGAGCCGAGATCACCCCACTGCACTCTAGCCTGGGCACAAGAGTGAGACTCTGGCTCATAAAAAAAAACAAAAAAAATTTATGAAGCCATAAACTGGGGCAGACAAGAATATAAACAGGATTTTTGCCCACTCGAGAGGTATTGAAAATGTTCTTCAATTCAAAGCACCAATTACACGTTAGTGTGTGTATGTTAGAAGAGCACAGAGAGAATCCAATATGTTGATGGCTTAGTATAGTGGGAAATAGTAACACATGGATTCATCATCTATATATATATGTATATATATGCATTTTTTTTTTAGATGGAGTCTTGCTCTGTCACCCAGGCTGGAGTGCCGTGGCACGATCTCAGCTCACTGCAACTAGCTTCCGGGGTTCAAGCAATTTTCCTGCCTTAGCCTCCCAAGTAGATAGGCTTACAGGTACACACAACACAACTGGCTAATTTTTTATATTTTTGGTAGAAATGGGGGTTTTACCATGTTGGCCAGGCTGGTCTCAAACTCCTGACCTCAAGTGATCCGCCTGCCTTGGCCTTCCAAACTGCTGGGATTACAGGCGTGAGCCACTGCACCCAGCCAGAGTCATCACATTAGTTATTCTTTGATGGTTAGTTAGGAAATTTTAAAAATTATTCAATGTTTCCTCTTAGTTTGATTATGCTAAATATTTTCTTTCTTAGAGCATTCACCAGCATTCTTTAAGTAATAAAATAAATAATTTATTGGGACTTTTCAAACTCTCTAAAGTAACTTGTGCACCCCTGAACCTTAACTTAAAGAAAATGTATTTTTGTAGAGAAAGATATAGAAAAAAATGCTTATTTTAAAATTGAGGTTACATAAGATTAACCTTTTTCTAAAGTATTCTGTTTTATATGCATTTGGCTGGATTCTTTTTTTTGTTTTTTGTTTTTGTTTTTTTTTTTTTGAGACGGAGTTTCGCTCTTGTTGCCCAGGCTGGAGTGCAATGGCGCGATCTCGGCTCACCGCAACCTCCGCCTCCTGGGTTCAGGCAATTCTTCTGCCTCAGCCTCCTGAGTAGCTGGGATTACAGGCACGTGCCACCACGCCCAGCTAATTTTTAGTATTTTTAGTAGAGACGGGGTTTCACCATGTTGAGCAGGATGGTCTCGATCTCTTGACCTCGTGATCCACCCGCCTCGGCCTCCCAAAGTGCTGGGATTACAGGAGTGAGCCACCGCGCCTGGCCCTCGGCTGGATTCTTTATCAAATTCTAGGTACCTCAGAGCAAAGCTAGGGTTGTAGGTATCTTCTTAATTTCTTGCCCCACTCCTGCTCATAGTTCCAATATGGAGCCCTGTGAATAATGAATATTCAGTATGTATTTGCTGTTTGATGATCCCTTACCTTCACTATTATACTTCTGTTGTTATTTAAGGGAATTTGTGAACATTTAAAAAGCATATATACAATGTCGCACATCTTTTGTGTTGCCATGAAAAGTGGTCTGATAGATCTAATGTTATATTCATAAAAGTTTGCAAGACGGAATCGATGTTACCAAATTGGAGCAAATCTAAACCCAAATGCTGATGAAATAGAAACGTTGGAGGTATTTTGTAAAATCCTCGCTCTTGCATCTCCTGTTGGATGTGTGATAGCCCTGACAGCTGGTATAATTCCCATCAGCCATAACTACAAAGCTAGGGGAACTGCCTCTGTGGGGCACTGTATGCACTGTTGGTCGGCTTCATTTTTAAACAGGGATAATTATGTTCCTCTCTCCCATTGGGTTGTTTTGAGGAACGACTAATTAATAGTTGAAGATAGCATTCTAAATGCAAATTAGTCAATAATGATCAGATTGAATGAACAAACTCCCATTGTTGAGCTCTGAATCTCGTGGTTATGTCTAACAGGTACTGAAAGGCCTTGTAGAAATAGCCTCGCTTAGAGGAGAAAAGCCACCAAAGCTTATTTCAAAATATCCAACAAACACCAGATTGCAAAGTTTACGGTTCATTATCACTTTTTAAAGAGAATTTTAAAGTTTCTTCATAGAAATATTTTTTTCCAGGTTCTAAAAGTAAAATATTATTAAAAAATAAAAAGTAAAACTACATATAAAGAAGAAAGTGTCACTCTCTCCTGCCGTACTAGAGGGGTGGTATCATTTGGGATAAAGTTAATCTTGCTAGACTTTCGTGGAAAATATTTTAACCCTATAATTAATAGCAAACAATATGATAGACCCTTAGGCAGTTTCAGGGCTCTATGAAATAACTATACCAGCCGTATTTTCCCATGACAGTAAACATCAAGTTATGTGATTTTGACCACTCTGATTTTCAGCAGCCCATAGAAACATATTTGTCTTTGCTAAACCTCCAATGACAGGACAAGTCATAGAAAAGAACAAGTGATCATTTCTACTTAGAATCCTGATATTCACCCATAGATGTCAAAATAAATCTCTTTGTTCCTTAAGGAAACAGGATATAATACAACAATAAAAAGTTTATGTAGCCAATACCACCTCCTACATGAGAAGGAGCTATTTAAAAAGCCCCGCATTCATTTTAAATGGATTTGTTATTCCACTGACATGAGAAACCTCTTATCAAATTTCTTCTGAGTGATTAGTTGAACATAGTTGTGTGTAGACAACACATGTATTCAAATATTAACGAAAAACCAGACATTGTATTTTGGAGGATTTGACTCTGAACATAAGACTTTGGGACATTATTAAGCGGGGAATAATGAATCAATAAATGCTTTTGATGGAAAAAGGGTTTGGAAAAAATCCTTGCTGCAGAAAGGCAGGTCTATGGGAAGAGTGTGTGATGAATTGGAGTAGGTAGGGATTATAGAAGGAGAATCAATTTGAAGGTTATTTTGGTTGTTCTGGAATAAACTGGGATGGTGGGTGGCTGGAATGCAGAGGAAGGATGATGGAAGAGAGCCCAAGGGATAGCTACTACTTCAGGGAGGAGAGGAAGAGTAGGGGGAAGTGAGAGGAGGAGGAGGAGGAGGAGGAGGAGGAGGAGGAGGAGGAGGAGGAGGAGGAGGAGGAGGAGGAGGAAAGAGAAGTCTCATATGACTCTTCCTGTGTCCTTTGAGCCTGTTTGCTCATGAAGAATAAACATTACGGAACATGATTCTCAAATTTGTTCAGGTATGCTGTTCATGATGTGCCATGAACTTTTGATATGTTTTCTTTTATCCTGCAAATAGAAACATTCTACCAGCAAAAATCGATGCAAAGTCAAGTCACAAGTGGCAGCCCATGTGCACATAAAAAATAAAGTTGTTGAATTAAGTACGATGAGCCTGTTGTCTGTTTTCCTGTTAGTACTCCTTTCTGGAGCTTATGTTGCTATGTGCAGGATCTCTCTAGAAAAAAGATAGTAAGCAATGCTAAAAGTTCAAGAAAAATTCAGAGTAAAACATAGAAAACAGTCCAATTCTTTTCACAGCAGAATACACTAGTTTGTTTAGTTTCAGAACCGATTATAGTGATCATTTTTTCCTACAAGTAAATTTTTACTGGCCAAGTTGGATAGTGAGCTTCTTGAGAGCTCATGCTACTCTTTCTTCTTCTTATTCTTGTGTGTGTGTGTGTGTGTGTGTGTGTGTGTGTGTGTGTGTGTTTGTTTTGTTTTCTATTTACTGGCTGCAACAATGGATCGAACAGCTGCATAACAAGCACTGTTTGGGGTAAATCATGTGGCATTCCAGGTGTGCAGAAGTTTCTGTACATGTCATTGGACGTAGAACTCTGCCAAAAATCAAACCAAAGAGGGTGGAAAACCTCTTCAATTAATTTATTATCTTTGAGCTCAGGAGAGATATAGTGAACTCCTCAGACTAGAAAGACTGAGTTTTATTACAGCTGAAGTTCTAAGCGTGTAAGAGACTGGATATTTGAGGAGTCATCATTACTTTCCTAGCATAGATTAATTGCTAACTCAACAAAACAGAAATGCATTAGTTCAAATTTTGAAGGTCATCTGTGTCTAATGGAAGGTATGGAAACTTTGTTCTATTTTAGAGATGAAAGCTTAGAGTCTAGAGAATTATTATGGTGCTGAATGTGTATCCTGTACTCTATAATCGATGACATTTTTTAAATGAATGATATTGTTCATCTGAAATACATTCCAGATTGCTAAAGGAAAAAAATTCAACATAGAATCAATTAAAAATCAGTTTAATATTGTAAGAAAAGGCACACAAATCCAAGAATATTGTTTATTCCAAACGGCTGTGAAATTCTATTACTTTACCACTGTGATTGCAGAAGGTAGAAATTATATTACTGTGTGGGTAAAGATATAGGTAAATTGAAAAATGCTGTGCATAAATATGTGGGTAATTTTAAAATATCTTTTCTATTGCAGTAAAATGGATGTGGAAATGAAAAACCCATATTGGTTCTGGTTTTCTAATATGGTATATTGAGCATTCTTCAGACATCACTTCAGGCT